AAAAACTCTGGAAGTTGTAGACTGCGCACCGGCCAATCACTGAAGAGACTGTCTGGGTAAATTTTGTGGTACATCACAACAGTAAACAAAGCGGTCGAGATGGATGTAGACTAACACATGCATTCTGTGTTGGCAACAATTCCCGAGATTGCGATTTAAAGCCGGAACAAAGGAGAGTTGGTGAATTTAATCAGGGGGAAAGACGTTATTGCCCTTCTTCCTACAGGATTTGAGAAAAGCTTAATATACCAGTTAGCCCCGTTAGCGGCACATTACATACATCACAAATAAATAGCAGTGATTTGTTAAATTAAAAAAAGTACCCGCCTACCGTCGAGTGAACGAATTCTAATGCTGCGAGGTCAGACGGTTTCTAAGAAGTGAAACCGGCTGATGAATCAGGTTAGGTCAGGACTACCTTAGCTGGAGGATTTGTGCCTGTTTTGGATTGACTGGAGAAAGTGGTTGAAGGAAACCCATCCACATGCAGGGAGAACGTGCAAAGTCCTGAGCAACCCCGGGATCAAACTCGGAACCTTCTTGTGTGAAGCATAAGAGCTAGCCACTCAACTCTGCTAAGAAAAGGGAAGTAACAAAAACCAAGATGGAGAAATGGTACAAATAAAGTAATAATTTAATAAACAGGATTGTAAAAGGTTCAATTAACAAACATGCTGAAATATGTGCATAAGGGTTCAAAGCAAAGCAAAGCAACTGTTAGGCTACGTTCACACAGCAGGACTTAACGCTCAATTCCGATTTTTTTGTGAAATCTGATGTTTTTTTCGAGGTCGTTCACATTTCCAATTAAATGTGACTTGTATGTGTCTCCAGTGTGAACAGTAAATGGCCCGAAAGTGTCCCGCATGCGCACTGGAGGACACGATGAGGTCAACTGCAGTGAGCGTGCTCTGTATTTACGGAAGTTGTCCAAACATGGAGGCGAGCATTGAGCACCTGGAGATTTTAAAGTTCCTCTCGTACCGGAGCCAGAACATGAACAACTTACTTGTTTTAAGGAGGAGACTGAGAAGGAGAAGGACGAGGTTTTTGGCTGTGGTGTTTTGTGGGACAGCAGCAGCGACGTCCGTTGAAAGGAACGTGTGGATGCGGAGACGTAGCCAAGAGTGGTGAGTGGTGATGTGCTTCGCTTCAGTGACATAGAGTTCATTAACAATTTTCGCCTACTTCAGCGCAGAATAATGACGTTTGTGGCTTGTTGATAACGCGTAGGTCGAATGAATGCACTTTGGCCGTTCACACTGAAGTCACATGTCAAAAGATCGGATATGTATCAGTTTCAGGAGCACATATTCAAGTGGCCTGGGTCGCATTTGAAAAAATCTGATCTGTGTCGTTCAGACTGTCATTAAAAGATCAAATACAGGTCACATAGAAGCCAAAAAATCGGATTTGGGTCACTTCAGGCTGCAGTCTGAATGCAGCCTAATTACCAAATATACAAAGGTCATGCATGACTTTGAGTTTCTCATACAAAGTAACATAAAATCAAAGTGACGACAAAACTAGAGACACATTAACAAAAGGCTCGAAATACCAAAGCAATAGAAATAAACCACTGAGTGACTGATGACACGAGAGACACAGAACTAAGTGGCCTGTTGTTCAAGTGAAATCCCAGCAGCCCCAAAACATGTTGGGAATCTTCTTAAATAGGGGAAAACAGCTACCAGTTGAGGCAGAATTGGCCAAGTGTAGAAGTGCCCCACCAATCAGGGACCAAGACTCTCACAGCAGAAATCAGGAGGAACAGCAAAAGAAATTAAAACACACAAAACAAGTCGGGGGGCCGTAACAGCTGGTTATTGTGTAGTGGTTTCCCAAACAAAATTGGCTTCCAATTTAATGTTAATTGCAGCTTTCTAGAACACACTACATTCCTCTGTTTTTGTGTTGGCGTCTTGTCTTTGGGATGAACCCATTTCTGTGTGTGTTGTCAAAAAGACCATGACACATAAGATAGACTCTCCATACCTCTTAGTTCTGTTTCCCTTCTGTACTGTCAACATTCCAAGGAACCAATAAATACACCTTTATCTTACTTTAGTACCAACTGATTTGTCTTTTGACTTTTTACTCTGTTTTTGGCTTCTTCAGGTTTGTGTGAGCAGCTGCTGACTCCAGGATGAAGTGAAGATGATCCAGTGAAGATGGTTGAGTGTAGATGCAGCGCAGTGATGATGACTCAGTGAACATGGTGCAGTGAAGATGCAGTGAAGATGACTCTGCTGGCTGGAGAGGGCTCTGAGTATGACTACAGTGCTGTGAGCTGTGCGTCAGACCCTCCCCCTCTCCACGAGCTCGAGCCTCAGAAGGGCGTGTACTACAGGAGGGCCAGACGGGCTCCTCAGCTCTGCACAGGTACAGCTTATGCAGTCTCCTTTTGCTCTCTGCCTTCATGGTGGCATCTCATATGTATCAGTGAACTTCAACTGTGTTTTTAATGTTCCTAAACCACGGTCAAGACAGTTCTAATCATTTCAAAGCACACATTATCAGTAACTTTTATTTTCATTTCATTTTGCATTTCTTTAAAAATACTTGTCTTTATTGCCAAATACCTTGCCAACAAAATCACTTTCTTACTTTTATTTATTTATTCTGTGGAACATCTTGGCAAAGCAATAACGTCTCCATGGAGACAGCAGGATGGTGAACCTTCCACCAGAAAAGTGACATAGTTCACTGTTAACAAAGTGGCTATAATTAACTTTAGCAGCATAGACTGTATATATATGGACATAGCTAACCTGTTAGCCACCACGCTCCACATAGGAAGTGTTGATGGGAGTGCTTCTGGCTCCATCGACTCTGGCTTCAATGGACTTTACATGGAATATTGTCTACTCTCTCTGTCAAATACAGGCAAGTCCAAGTCGAGTCTCGAGTCACTGGCCAATAAGTCCAAGTCAAGTCCAAGTCGTCTGCTTTGAGCTTCAAATTATTTTAAGTCTTTAAACGTACCAAATATAGCTTAGATTTTTGCAATTTATATGACTTTTAAGATAAATTGTACTTAAAAATTAAGTATATTTTATATGTGAGTATTTTAACATAATATAAAAGTTAAGAAATGTTAATCTTTCCTTTTTAAATGTTTTGACAATCTTAGTGTGAATCATTATGGTCAAAAGAAGAATTCAGATTTAAAAGTGCTTTCAAGTCTTCTCAAGTCAAGGCTCAAGTCCAGTCAAGTCCCAGTCAGTGACCTTCAAGTCCAAGTCAGTCCAGTCTTATCCATTTTATCAAGTCAAGTCTCAAGTCTAAAATAGTGACTCAAGTCTGATCGAGTCAAGTCACGATTGCATGTCCAACCTCTGGTAACTGCTGCTCTGAGCCTTGTCATTTTGGTCTTAAAAAGTTTGTATTAAACCGCTCAACATGATCCTGGTGTTTTTAATTTGCTATTTTGTCCATAAATCATTTCCTAATATGGAACTTGGTTCCAAATTTACTCCTGTAAAAGCTATCATCATGAGCTTCATTCCACTGAAACCATCTACGGTTAGCATCCATGTTTTCTAGCGTTTAGTTCCTGTTTCCTGTGCCCAGATGTTTTGGGGCTACTCTTTTCCTTTGTATGCACAATATCTCTTTTACACATTTCTACAACCAAGCAAACACGTCATTATAAGATAATACCTAACCCGTCTGCCAGTTGATGTGAATAAGTCATGTTCAAAGACTTAACAACTTCTCCTCTCTCTCAGACCTCCCTCTGTCCAGCGCTCGCCGGCTCTACGCCATCATAAACGTGGGTGGGCTGAGGTACCAGCTCCCTTGGACCACCCTGGAGGACTTCCCTCTGTCTCGCCTGGGCCAGCTTCGCCTCTGCAGCAGCTTCGATGACATCATGCAAATCTGCGACGACTATGATGTCGCCCACAATGAGTTCTTCTTCGACCGCAGTCCGTGTGCCTTCAGAACCATCCTGGCATTCCTACGGGCGGGGAAATTACGTGCAGTTCGAGACATGTGTGCGCTTTCATTCAGAGAGGAGCTGCTGTACTGGGGTGTTCCTGAAGATAACTTAGAATGGTGTTGTAGGCGGAGATTGGTGCAGCGAGTGGAGGAATTTGAGGCATTGGAGAGGGCAGAGGAGGAGGAGACGTTGGAGGAGATGCTGGATACAGACAGCAGAGATGGTCCCAAGGAGACGAGGGTGAACAGGTGCATGGGTCAGCTGAGGGACATGGTGGAGCGACCACATTCGGGACTGCCTGGGAAGATCTTCGCCTGTTTGTCTGTGCTGTGTGTGACGATCACCGCGGTAACGCTGTCCATCAGCACCATGCCAGCTCTGAGGGAGGAAGAGGAGGAGGTGAGTGCAGAGGAAGACTGGGAAAAAAATTAATATATAAGTTAAAGGTGCACTATTAAACTTTTCTGGTAGAGGGTCCACCACCTGGTTGCCTCATGTTACTGATGTGTTTGGAATATTCCACACTATGGCGTCAAACTTCTGTCTTGCTTTTATTCAATCCAGTTTCATTGCTAAATGACAAAACAAAAAAACATCTCTCAGAACAAAAAACATGTCTCTACTAAACTGATCTGTAACCTGGTATGGGGCATCAGATGCTTCTCTCCATGGAGATGGATAACTTTAATGCCATGATGTGGAATACAACATGGAAACCCGAACAAAGTCCAGTGGGACTCGTTGAAACCCGACAGGCTTGATCGAACTCGGACAAATATTTAGAACTTATGTATGGGCTTGGGTCGGACTCTGATACATTAGCACGATAAGACATTTGAAATGTAAAATTAAAAACGACTTAAGGTCGCCACACACTACAGGATGTTTTGGTCTTAAACGATTTTTAAACGTACATCAAAAAGTGCACACCACAGACACGCAGAGAATCGTATGAGACTTAATGGCTGCAGTGGGAAATGTCTGCAGACCACAAGACTATAAAGTTGTGAGCGTCAACTGCTTCCTGGCTACAGTAAAACCACTCGCTTTCAAACTCTTAAGTGTTCAAAAGGTCAGAACTCTGCACTTCTAGTTTAGATACAAGGCAAACTGTGTCATTATTATTTGTGAAATGTGGAGCAATACTTCAGATAAATGATTTTTAAAGCATAAAAGATTGGCGATAAAATACACAGGAAGTAGAGTCACTATCGCTCATCTGCAGACACAGGTGAGGAACTATATCGTGATAGTGTGATTTTAATTGTGTTGGGATCCAATCCAATCCACTTTATTTCTATAGCACATTTCACAAACAGTTTCCAAAGTTCTGCACAAATATATAATAATAACAACAATAATAAAATGATAAAATAAACTACTAAAATAATCATACTAGTCTTAAAATAATAAAACCAGCAAAATAAAATAAGATAGCCATCGGGCTATCGGTCAGAGTCGACCATTCTGTCAGACCCGAGCCGGTCTTGGACAGAAAAAAATCGTCCCGATCCACACTCTAAAGTGGAACATTCCAAACAAAGCAAAAACATATCCACAAGACAAAAAGATGGCAGGCCCTCCACCAGCATCCTCCATCCTTTAGTACAACTTTATTCTGTATGTAGAGAAAATATCCACTACAGCCTTCTCTCTATCACGTGTAGTATTATACATCACCACCAGATGGCGACAGAGATCCACTGTATTGAAACCCAAAAGTAGTCAGTATGAGCTAAAAACTAATTTATTTAATGTTCTTTGGCACTTCCTGCGCGGATTCACGGAGAAACTTGGGTCAGATAGAATGTGGAATATAAAAAGACAAGGAACTTTATGGAGAATGACTTGTGAGAAAAAGCAGTCAGGGGACGGAGTGAACGAGCAGAATTACTGAAGTTACACGTGCGAATTAAGAAAACGCAACTCCAGGTAAGATTTTGACGACGATGCAACTTTATTAAGCCGTTTTAATTTCTTGTGTCACTTGAAATGAGACAAAAAATAATAAAACAGCCTACTGACAAAAGATTAGAAACTTGTCAAAAGTAGCTATTTCAACAGACACAGGCCTACAGTAGAATTTTGTTTTGTAAGTCCATTGCATATCTCTTTTTGTTCCGTGGTTGAGCAAGTTGTGTCAAACTAACCGTATGCTTCTAACAAGAGAGGGACGCTCCTTTCAACCCAAATTATTTGTAATTTGCATGTCAAAGTACGAAGAACAAAAAAGTCATTATGGCACATTACAACGTCACTGGGCGCCAACAGATTCTATAATTTCTGTCTATAATGTGTTTTCATCGACAACTAAAATGAAACTGTCTAAATTCAAAAGGCGAAGTGACTTGGTGTACTGAAAAGCTCTAATTAAAACTGCAGGGGCAGATCTTGTCTGTCGCGCATGTTGTGTTCCCGGGGGAGAGAGGCGGTCGCTTAGAAAGGCTTCAAACAGCGCTTTTATATCCATTTTATAAACCAATAACGACACCAACAACATTTCCATAAGAGTAATTCCATGAACCAACTGTAATTTGCGCGTTTTATAGAGTATTTTTAGTTTAATCGTATCTTCTTGTCTTATCTTGAATGTGATTGGACAATGGTGCACCACGTGTCCCGGAAATGTTGCAACGCGGTTCCAATTTGCTTTAAAACTCAAAAATAGCGCTTTTTTGGGTCACCTCATTCATTCCAAATAGGCGCATTCGTATTGTTATGTTCTCTGCTTTACGGCAACCACACTGAAACGCTTTAAAGAAATGTTTTTAATTTTACGTATATTTGCATCGTGACTGAGGTTGGTATGGCGGAGAATGGCTTCAGACACTCAGACAATTTGTAGTTATCGCTTCTCGGCCTTTTGGCTAAGATCAAGTGTAGTATCTGTTCTTATCAGTTTAATATCTGATACGTCCCCTACCCGGGGACCATATATTAAATTGATTTTTGGAACTGGGAGATGGAATAGGGGCTTGCTCCGTCCACTCCACGCATCGACCTGGTATTGCAGTACCTCCAGGAACGGTGCACCCCCCTAAACGTGTGTAAAGTAAAGGAGTAGAAGTAGAGATGGAAGTGGTTTAGCTGTGAAGAGCATGGAGTCTTGCTTTTGACGTAGACATCGTTAGTTTAGTGGTCAGATTTTCTAAACCACCGATTGGCTCGTGTGATTCCAGTTCCCACAGATGAATACTGTCGTGTCTTTGGGCAAGACACTTTACCCACCTCACTCTAGTGCCTGCATACACTGGGGTGTGTGAATGGGTGAGTGGTTCCTTGTGTAAAAGCGCTTCATAAAAATGTGAACGAAACCATAGAAGTATCGGTAAGCGTTTTTGTAAGTTAATAATTGTCGTTTCTTTATTTTAAATTTTAAAAAGTTTGTATATTCGTAGATCACGTTTACTTTCTCCATCAAAGAATATATATATTAGAAAATTTGATGTCATTTAATCAGTGAAAATATGTTATGATTTCGGAATTTTACACATTCCTGATGATTTTTCGGATTTCATTTGGTGGCTCAGGGATTAGTGGTATAAAAAAAAATCTACTTTGAACTGTGGATCTTTGTCTCCCTCTAGTGGTGTGTACTATCACTGACACTCTTGTTCTTGAGAATGCCTGAGGTCTGCAAGACTTATAATACAGTTTGAATTAGCTTGTATGTTTGCACTTTATGATTTTATTGGAATTCAATTTGATAATTATTATTATTTTGTATGATTTATTGATTTAATTTATGTAAGAAAGGTAATATCAAACCTGCTTGTTTCTATGGAAATGTTGTTCCTTTAGCTATAATCTTCCACAGTAAGACATAAAACATATTCATCTCTGTCTGTGGAGAATGTTCCGAATTAAGGTTTTTAACTTTGTATTTACATGGAATCATATAGGAAAGTTACGCAGTGTTGCTTTAATGGTTAGCAACTTTGTGGAGGAGGCAAGTTTTGTGCTATATTTGGAAGAATAAAGTCAAAGCAACAGCATTTCCATCGAGACAAGCTGGTGTAATATCACCTTTGTAGCATAAATAAATAAATCAAGCAAGAGGTCCTCCTCCAGGCCAAAAATAAGAGTCAAGTTTGTGGAGATGCAAGTCTGACACATGTTTTTCAGTGCATACACAACCAAAATCAAGGGGGAAAAAATGTCCTTTCATTTTAGTCCAATTTTTGGCTAAAAGTGATAGAATATTACTTTAACTATTTTATTCCTGTCCCTCTCTCCCTCCTCTCTCTCTCTCTCAGGGCACATGCTCACGGCGCTGTTATAACATCTTCATCGTGGAGACCGTGTGCGTGGCCTGGTTTTCCCTGGAGTTCTCTCTGCGCTTCATTCAGGACCGGAGCAAACTGTCTTTCCTCCGACAGCCCCTGAACCTCATCGACCTCGTGGCCATCCTGCCGTACTACATCTCCCTCCTGGTAGACAGCTCAAAGGGCTCGGGTGGACCTGGGGGCTCATATCTGGACAAAGTTGGTTTAGTCCTTCGTGTTTTGCGAGCTCTCCGGATCCTCTACGTGATGCGATTGGCGCGTCACTCTCTGGGACTGCAAACTTTAGGACTTACCGCACGACGTTGTACCAGAGAATTTGGTTTACTTCTTTTATTCCTGTGTGTGGCCATCGCTCTGTACTCTCCTCTCCTCTTTCTTATTGAAAACGAAATGACATCCACGCAGGAATTCAGCAGCATCCCGGCTACGTACTGGTGGGCTGTGATCACCATGACGACAGTGGGATACGGAGACATGGTTCCGCGCAGTATTCCGGGGCAGGTGGTCGCTCTGAGCAGCATTCTAAGCGGGATTCTCCTCATGGCATTCCCGGTCACCTCCATATTCCACACGTTTTCGCGCTCGTACTTGGAGCTGAAGCAGGAACAGCAGAGGGCACTGCAGAGGCGGACGCGCTTCCTGTTGCGTGGGCGTATGACCGGACTCGGGAGTGACCTGTCTCTGGAGAGCAATGTGCTGTTTCCTCTGAGACCTGCGGACAGCAGAGACATGTGACTAAAACAAGGAAAAAAGACTGAGTATATTTGAAAAGACTGAAGCACACAGAAAGAAGCCCGGGATAAAGCCATGATGTGTAGCATTTTAAAGATGTTGCTATTAAATCTGAAGCAGCCGATGTTGAAGTGGAAAATGAAGTGAATTAAAATGGAACTAAACACTAAATCAACTTTTTTTTACTGCTACACTTGGATATAGGGTTTTAATAGCAGCTGTCCCTAGTCTTTTTTTTTTTAAACTATTGTAGTGCAAACTATGCACATTTGCAGCTTTCTGGAAACTCCTTCAAATGGCTGCAATTTCAAGTACTATGTGACATCACACAGGACTGCCCTGAGAAAAACACCTGACTGCAGGGGTGGAGTTTGAAATGTGGAGTTATTAATGCTACCTTTACACATGGTTGGGTATGTTGAGAAACTAGTATTTCCCTCCCTCTGTTTTCCAAAATAACATTGTACACATAGCGTTGATTTAAAAAAAGTTTTCGTTGACATCAATCCTCATAAATCTGCCATCGAGTGCCGTCATAACTACGCCAAGCCTCTGGGCGACACCTGGATTAGATTCAAACCTGTAGCATTTATTTCATTACAGTTGTAAGCATTACTCAAAAATACTTTGAAAAATGTGCATTAGTGAGCGGGCTCGCCTCTCCACAGATCTGTTAAAGAAGTGGCAAAATGTTTGACCTCCGAGTCTCATTCGTCTCTGGTCATGGATATGATACATCAGCTGTGTGTGCAAATGCAAACACGTGAAAAGTGTTTGCACCAGAAGAAATGCGACTGCTGTTCTGATGCTCCATCATCATCATCAGAGCAAAAGGGAAACACTGGTCGCACTTTTGGCGCATCAGCTCCTAAAACTCTATTTATCTCACACGAAGCCATAATTTTCCAGAATCTCCACTCTAGCCGGAATTTTTTAGAAAGATTTGTTTTCAAAGACGAATTCACTGTTTGCGTGTAAAAGATGGGTACAGATGAAGGGAAATGTCTCCGTTTTTAAAAATGCATGTGTACATGTAAACGGGGCCTAAGGAAGTTTGAAGTTTGGAGGTATTAAGGAACATCAATCACACTGTTCCTTAATACCTCCAGATAATGCCCCCATTCTCCCCTTTAAACAGTACTGTGGGAAGTCACATAGCACTTGACAGTTGGAGGCAGCTTTGGCAGGTTTTTACCTCAAAGCTGCAGTTACTACTAAAATTGCAAAAAAAATTAAAAATAATAATAATAACTAGGAACTGTAGGCATTGTTATTCAAAAAAAAAAAAAAAAAGAAGCTTAGTAGTGCAAAAAGTTGATTGTGTTTAGTTTCACTTTAAAGACAAGCTCAAAATCACTTGTCGAATCTCAGTGGACTGAACTCTGCACTGAAACATCCCACATTACATAATCATTACACACAACATAAACAAATGTTGATTTACCTTTTGTGCTACAAATGAGACAACAGATTAAATTATTAAATTCAAATCACAAAGTCAGCATGTATCTTGTATCTCAGACACATTTGTGGAGTTTGGAGTTTGTGGCAGAGACCAGACTTTAATGGAAGCTGCTTGTTTGTCCTCTGGGTTTATTTGAACTTAACTGAATCTTTTTGCTCACTCAGGCATCACAGACCTGCACTCTGGATCTACAAGCCTCAAACGTTCAGACGAAATGTTTCTCTTTTTGAAAACTGCTGAATTTTGTGTAACTGTCCAAACTTGTTTTGTTTATAATGTTGTATTAATTGTGTTTTGATTTCGTTTTGATGATTTATTTAAAGTGGATTAAGCTGAAAATATTGGTCTGGTAATTTCTTCTGTGGTCATCTCTTACATGAACACCAGGGGGCAGCATCGTGTCACGTAAATCAGGATGAGTTTCGGTACCTCCTTTTTCTATGCCCAATTGCATTTAGCAGTGGAGCGTCCAATTTATGTATTTACTGTTAAGGAAAGGACTAAAAGAGGATTAAATCTGGGTTTAATCAAAAATAAACAACAAATTGGAGGGATTTTGTTGCTTACGTCTCTATACGCATTTGATTGCACAGGACTATATTATGTACAATGTGGGGATATATCTGTTGATTTGGAAGAACTGTACAAGAACTAAACCAGGGCCCAACCAGGTCTATACTAGGACAATAACAGAAAAATACCAAGACTAAACCAGGGTCTAATGTTAGGACTGAACAAGGACTAAACAAGGACTAAACCAAGCCAAAACCAAAACTAAAAACTGTCTAAGCCGGGGCAATATAGGCTACCAGAAAAAGAAGCAGTACACCAGGACCAAATGTCTAAACTAAGACAAGAAATACATCAAGTACAAATCAGGACTAAACCAGGACTACACCAGAACTAAACCAGATCACAACCAGATTTAAACCAGGACAATAGCCTATCAGAAAAATACCAGGACTAAACCAGGTCTAAACCAGGACTAAACCAGGGCTAAAATAGGACAATCAGAAAAATACCAGGACTAAATCAGGACCTAATATTGGGACTAAACCTGGTCTAAAACAGGACTAAACCAGGACTAAACCAGGGCTAAAGAAGGAAAATCTGAAAAATACCAGAACTAAACCAGGACCTAATGTTAGCACTAAATCAGGTCTAAACAAGGTCTAAACCAGGACTAAACCAAGTTTAAACCAGGACTAAACCAGGTCTAAACCGGGGCTCAAGTAGGACAATCAGAAATATACCAGAACTAAACCAGGACCTAATGTTGGGAGTAAATCAGGACTAAACCAGGGCTATAGTAGGAAAATTTAAAAAATACCAGAACTAAACTAGGACCTAATGTTAGCACTAAACCAGGTCTAACCCAGGTCTAAACCAGGACGAAACCGGGGCTAAACCAGGACGAAACCGGGGCTAAGTCAGGGCTAAAGTAGGACAATCAGAAAAATACCAGGACTAAACCAGGACCTAATGTTAGGACTAAACCAGGTCAAAACCAGGACTAAACCAAGCCCGAATTAAGAAATACCTGTTCTAAACGAGGAACTATTTTTAGACTAAAGCAAGACTAACCAAGAAATAAATCAAATCTAAATCAGACATAAAAATAATAAAATAAAGAAAGGACTAAACTCAATGAGAAAATCCCCGGAGCACGCACACCGACCCGTTCAAACCTGTACACACACGTTACAGTAAATCTGAGGAGTGGCTTCAATTTAACGCCATTCAACTAAATCCTATCAATTATTTATTAAACCAACAACCAATCAGAGCATGGATTCAGCCCGGAGACCCGCCCTTGTCTCCCCTCCAATCCTCCCACATCACAGCCCAATGTTTTGGTCTGGATTCTTGGTTCTTTTGCGCAGCGTGGCAAGCAAGAGCTGTACCTTTGCGCATAGACACGTACCCCCTCCAAATCGCGTTAAATTGTAGCGTTTTTATAGAATTTTACCACTTTTAATTCGTATTTTTTAACCTGGGATTATTGTTAACGAAAAATAGCCGCTTCCTTAGTCATTCGGCGTCATGACTTTCCCCAAAACCGCCTTCTTTTTTAGTTGAATGGAACCCTACGTTCCCTGCGTCGCTCGCGTTTGGCACAGTTTCGCCTCTCCTTTTCGCTGCTACTGCTCCGAACTATCACGCAGGACTTTTGAATCCCGTGGACCTCTTCGTACGCGATTTTATTAATGGTTTAACCGCGAAAAATCCTTCTTCTTCAGTCTGAGGAGCTGCAAAAGAAGAGACAGCCACCACGACGCCAGCAGATCTCCCATAGTGTGAACTACAGGGTAAGCAACTTCATTTCTGTGCTTTTGGCTTGCCTGCTCGTGTTTGAGATTTGGTACTGCAAGAAGGTGTTAGAAATGGGACAAGCCGATCACTGTAATACCCAGTTTAGCATGAAAAAGCCGTATTGTACTAGTTTGTGCGTTTTTCTTGTGGTTTTAATCTTTCTGTAGCCTGCGTTTTGGCATTGCTGCTTTTAAAGGCGAGATTTGTATATTGCAATAATGTGTTCAAAGTTACTCATCGACTATGCTTATTTTAAAATACATTGAGGAAGCATTAGGTGTACATTAATTGTAGTTTTTCTTATGGTTTTAGGGTAAACTAACTTGGAGGTCTGCTGCACTGTTGTAAAGAGCGAGCTTGAATAACTAGGCTACTGCAGTTATGTGGTGAAAGATACTTGGAGTACTTTATCAAGTTTTCTATGTACACCTGCCAAAGCCTTTTTCTTTTATTGGTGCTAAAATAATTGTGACGCTATAAAAAGAAAAAAAAAAAAAAACGCTTTTGGAACGTCCTCTTATGTTCACCCTTACTTTAAAGATGCACTGTGTAACTTTTCAGGTGAGGCTTTTCTCCATGGAGAATGTTATTGCTTTGCCTGGAATGTTCCGCAGTTTGGCTTTAAACTTATCTTTTGCCTGTTGTCAATTCTAAGTGTTTTAATTGCCAAAAAAAAACAAAAAACAAAACTTGAATAACATCCATTTTTACTATAAGCACGGCAGGGTCACCTCTCCACAGATCTGACCTGCTGTACTGATGTTTCTATTAATCATGATGGAATCAGCTGGACCCTGAATTGTACTCTTCATGAAAGTTAGTTAATTAATATACATATTAAAAAACATGTTTTCATTATATATTGTATTAATTACAAATGGAAGTTACATTATATCTCAGCACATTTGTTCATACATACAAACAAAACATGCAAAAATGATGTGGTCTCAAAACATACACAAAGTGATTCTGAAGGATTTTTGAACAAATTCTGTAGCTTTTTAAGTTTCTTGTGTTGCGCTGCTTACAAATTATATTCATGGCAGCACATAAGAAAATAATAATTTCTTCCCAAATCAACAGTTACAGATGCTATAGATCATTGTTTCCCAAAGACTGGTTCACGACCCTCAGGTGGATTGCAAGGGATTTTTTTGGGGTCGCCTTGTCACGATCTGTATGTAGGTCTGCAATATACAGTTCTACAGACTTATTTTGTATTTATTACTGGTTCAATTGAATGTTGAAAAGAAAAAGAAATGGGCTACATTTAATGTCCAAATAGGCAACTTCTGGATCCTCTTACTGCTGCTTCAGTTACTGTTTTTCATTGTTTAAAACTTGAGTCATACTAATTGTTCAGAAAGACACGATCACTCAGTCAACAATAAAATATGGTCCAAATATGCTCAAATCCACCTTTATTTTATGATTTACAAAAAATGTCTGCTGACTTGGGTCGCGAAGTTTTGTGACTTTTAAAATATGAGTCCTCAGAAAAAAAGTTTGGGAAACACTGGTCTAGATGCTATAAAATTATTTAAAATACAACTTCATAGTAAACATCTGCGAACAGATGAGGATTCTATTGATATTACAGACTTCGGAAAGATCAGTAAAATGACAAACAAGGGCTGACATTTGGTTTTTCCACATTCACATTTCATTTTGATATAGAATGCTGATTTCCTAACTCAGTACATCACGCACTAAAGGTCGGCAAGTCACCCGTATGCCACCCAAGAGAAGGCGGCGCCCGGAGAGAGGAGGGGACGTTCAAGCCGAGAGAATGGGACGCTTGAGCTGGGATTCGTCATGACAGAAAAAAATACTACTACTACTCGTAATTCTCCTAGTGGCATCACCAGCTTGTCTGTTGGAAGATAACTTTGTCTAATGCCATACTGCGGAACATTCCAGACATAGCATCTAACGCAACATGTCCGTAGAGACTGCCAGGTGCCCTACCCTCCCACAGAAGTTTCATAATGACCTTTTAAATTGCAGTTTTAGGTTTCATGTCATTTTCATATGGACTTTAAAGCATAATTCTTACAGTTGTATGGAGTTCCTTTTTCTATAGCCTATCAATTTGTATCGAGCACAGACACTGACAGTTGTGGAGTCTACGAACAGGTGACGTGTAAATACATGTTTGGACTTGCTCGGTTCAAATGCCTCAGATTTTTGCTCCCATAGCTCCACACACACTCTCTGCTGTCATATGTTTAGGATTAGGCCCTCTCCCACTCCACAAAACCACCATATTCTCTTCAGATTCTATTATTAGACAAAAGAATTAGAAGTAACTCAGTAAGTGGTCATTATTTAAGGGTGGGCGTCCTGCTTCCATGCGCTTTTGGCTTCATTCAGTCACTGGAGAACAAACTAACCTCTTGCGAGCTTTTAGCCGTGTTATAATACCTGGAGTTGTGTTCCAAATCGAAAGGTCAAAATGTTCTGTTCCAGCCTGCGATGTCATGAGGTGGTGGTTTTCAAGTTAACTGCTCTTTTTTACTTTTAGTTCAGTAGAGACTGACAGTTCCAGGGCTGAAACCATCTAAATGATTCTAGTGAAGGTTTATGGAGTTTAAAAACACAGTGGAGCTCATCGTGTATTACCACATGACATCACAAGGGGTGTTATCTGTTTGAGAGAAGAACTCGGCCTAATTATGCAACTCCAGGTATGTTTGTGATGAGGAAACAACATTATAACATAGATCAGATAATAGTTAATGTGCAAAGCTTTGAATGTGCAAAAACATCAAAATATCGTGAGACTAAATTTGATACAGTATCACTATCATAGGTTGTTGTATCAGTATTGCCAAGAGTATTTTAAGTATCTTCTTAGCTATTTTTTTTTGTGAGCATGCTGCAGTTTTGGTGCTTATTTTGCAGAAGGACAATGACAGTTTTGATGATTAAAACAGATGTACAGTATTTTGCATTAACTTTGCACAAGTATTGGTTTAATGAAGAAATCTTGTTCTAAAAATTTATTTGGTTCTTAAAAAACAGCAACATACTCAGAGTATCATGTGAAAATGTATTGATTATCACATGTATCACCATATCGTTATAATATTATATCGTGAGCACATGTCTTAGTCCACCAAGAATTTATTTAGTTGACTTCTCTAGTTTTGACTTGTACTTCTGTTTTCTTTTATTTTTCACTTGAACAAATTTGGTTCCTCCTCCCCCTAAGTCAGGCATGTCCAAACTATGGCCCGAGAGCCAAATGTGACCCCCAGACAAATTTTTCTCGACCCTCAGACTTCCAAGTGAATTGGCCCAAATTACCTTGCATCAATTAAATATTCACTTTTTACTGCAGGTTTTTTAAAATCTACTGTGATAAAGCTAATATTTAATATTTAGTGTGTGGTTTTAAGGATCTTAGCATGAATTAAGACTGTGGCTCATTCTAATGTGTTAAACATGCACATATGTCACCAGCCCTCTGCTTTGTCTGTGTTTAGATATGTGGCCCTAGATGAAAAAAGTTTGAACACCCTTTCCCTAAGTCAATTCTGAAAACAAATTATTTAATTCTAATTACAGTGTTCCATGCAAAATAGGCATTCTTAGCATGAGTGGGGTTTCCTCTCCACAGGTCTGACCCATAACTTGGCCTTTATTGATCCACAAGGGAAATTTCTTGGACACAGTAGCTCACACATCACAATATAATATAATAACAAAGAGAAAACATGTAAATAGTAATAATAAATTATAAGTAAGTAACAAAAAAAGAAAAAAAATAGCATGAAACTATTGTCAAATAAGGCATAGTTATGTTAAGTTTTATTTTGGATGTTTTCGTTCCATTGAAAAACATACTGGAATCCTCCCTGCTGTGAGCGGACTTGCATCTCCACAAACCTGATTGATTATTTGGCCTGGAGGAGGGCCTCTTCCTGGTTGTCTCCATGGAAATGTTCTTCCACAGTATGGCATTAAACTTATCTGTCTCCGTGGAGAATGTTCTGAAGTATGGATTTAACTTTCTATTTCCAGGTGCCATGCCAGCATCAGAAAGTGTTCAACAGTATATCATTAAACTTAAAGCAACATTCCTGGCAATGCAGTTACATCTGCATGACGATAAGCAAGTGACACATGTTACGCAATGCACCTTTTAATCAGATTCATCACGAAAATAGTAGACTTTCCTCTTTCAGTAAAATCTGATTGCTGGTAAGCGCTATCAGTTTGATATCATGAGAAACTAGAAGCTTGTAATGTTCAAATACCTCCCAGAGAGTCTGTTTTTCCATGTTGCATTCATGTGACATGGTTCTTATCGGTGAGTTTGAGATATGACACTTTGCACAGCTCTCTGTACCAGGCTCTACCGCTTTAACCCTCATGTTCCTGCAGCTCTTTGATCTGCCTATAGCATCAATATTTAGTGGAACTGTCACCATATAGTCAGCATTTTAGTCACTCTTGCAGTTATAGGCACCTGATTTTTACCTTTTTTTTGTTTATATAAAGTGAAAACCAGAACTAGTTCATTTTAAACTGTTTGCAATGGTCCAAAGTTATTCTTCCATCAATATTATCCATATAATTCTCCACAATGAGTTTATAAGCGCTTTCACAACTCTCAGAGACCAAAGCGTTTTTCTTTTTGCCATTATTGTAAATTAGACACCAACTAGCATTCTAACACACACTTCTCGGATAGTTCATGAGTCACAACTATCAAATAAGAAAAGCTAACAATTTATTTAGTCTTCTACAAATAGCAAAATAGTAAAATCTAATCACAGTACTTTTTAGAAAAATTGCAAATAGAAAGTGAGCATGGGTGTGCTTCCAGCTCTATCAATTCTGGTTCTAATTGACTTTACACTGAAAAATTTTCACCCCTCTATCTGTAAGTGCTGCTGTGAGCCTCATGATTTTGGTCTTAAAATATTCCTATTAACCTGCTCTACATGATCCTGGTGTTTTTATTTTGCTGTTTTGCCCATAAGTAATT